TGCCTTATTGCCCTAATTCTGTTTCTTCAAGTCCAATGCGGGTTATAGGACTCTCTGATTGGTCTTTCCTATTGTTTTTATCGAGTGAAGTAACAAACCTATACTTCTACTAAGAAAAGTTTATGAACGTGAGAATGCTCTCTTAGACAACAACACAAGCTATTTATTATTAAAAGGAGAATTCTTTTTTTTTTTTTTTTGGGACATGAGAGAGAGAGATTCAAAATGAGGATGATTCTACACTAAAACATTCATCATAAATATGACCAGATATGAGGCTAAAACAGAGGAGGATTATTCCTGCAAGCTAAGGTTCGAATATGATAAGGTTCAACTCATTAAACTAACAGGAGAACATTAATCTTACAGCTCATTGTACGCCAGGAGATTAGATGCTATAAATAAAAAGAAGAATAAGAATGATTCCCTTATTGGTAGTAGTGGTCTCTCAAAAAATAAAAATAAAAAGTTAGTCAAACCAAATATTCCAAACATTTTCACTATAAATGAGAAAGATAAGAGGGTTGAGGTTAATAATTCATCTAATGGTCACCGCCTCTCTTATTTTTTTTTTTATAGCATGTAAAAGTCCGCAATGCACTAGGCCAGACTGTTCACTCGCCCAGTTGACTATCCACGATGGGTCATGGGTCGACCTGTTGTGTAGTTGACGATAAACACTTTTGGCTAGAACAACTAAGGTAAAAAAAAAAAAATTAAGATGATGTCTGACAAAATTAAAAATTAAATACTGAATACTGAATTTTAAGTATTGAATATTAAATTTTAAATTTGAAAACAGTGAAAAATTAATGTAATAACTGTTTATATCAACAACCCGCCCGACAAGCCAATGCCCATTAGCCATGGGTAGGCCTTAGAGACCCTTAAGCGGTTTTTTATCAAACACATTTATTTTTATTACTTCATATATCTACTTCTACAAAATTACAAAATAAAATAAAAATATTAGGGGTCCTAAAATTAAAATAGGGCAAAAAGAACTATAGTTACCGAGATTTCTATCAATGTGGAAGTGCACAACCATCATAATTTTGGTCAAGAATTCATATGGGTTTTTCATCTCTTCCCCTTTTTTCGTAAGAACTGTTTTTTTTTTTGTTACATGGTGTATAGTTTTACACCGATTCCTCCCTTTAACTCTTCATAAGCAAGACATCTTTAGTTGGACTTTGAATGAGAGATTTTTTTTTTTTTTTGAAAAGAGCAATGCAAAGATTAATATTACGTAAGAAAATGCTGATTACGGTCAGAAAATAAGTAAGTCTCAAGTTCGGGGGAGGCAATCCACCCAACTCAACGGAAGTGAGTTAGATATTGACATGACTGCAAACCAATGAGTTGTTCTATTAAGAACCTTTGCCAAACACAGTTGAGAGAGAGTTTGAGAGTTTTATGACCGAGAGATGATAGGCTTTTGACAAACCTAATGGATCGAAAACACATTCCATGACCTTCCTTACATGTTGGAGTGCTGGACTACTCACAGACTACCACTTGACGGGTCAATCCGCCCATTAGTTCAATGGGTTATGAGGTGGATCATCTGGTCCAAGGCATATTGCTAACCCATGGCAAAATGTGATGAGCAATGTTAGCGATAATAAATCAATAGGGATTATTAGATCGGTGGGTCTTATTAAAAAAAATTAATAAAACTCACTCATCCAATAATTTCAGTTCATTTGAGATATAATTTGGGATTCATAAAATTTTTCAAATGTGATTGTCGTGTCTGTTCGTGTTGTATTTTATCAAGTTATTGTCAAAAATCGTCCAACTTGTATGTGAGTTGTTTATTAAACATGTGAAAATTATAAAATCGAACACGATTCATTTATTAAACGGATTATACAACATAACCCTTATTAACTATTAATTTTACAACACACACAAAAAAAATTATAATTAAAAATCTTAATTTTGCAATAAATTGGGTCAGTATTAAACTAATAATAGGATAACAAACCGGCAATTAGGTGTAAATAGGTAATTGAATGATATATCAACTTATTCAGTAAGTAATCAAGTGATGAATGAATTAAAGTATTCTATCTTAGTAGGACTCGTTTATTAAGAGGATTTGATTAATTCACTTGTTAATCATTTAAAATTAAATTTAAATTTATTAATTTATTTCAAATAATCGGATTGTATTATATTCCGACACCTGAGAAGTGATGATGAACCAGAAATCAGCACATCTCAGCCAGAAAATAGAAATTTTAAGGAAACAAAAAAGACAAAGTACGGCACAAATCCAGAGAACGGAAAAGAAAAGACAAAGGCTAACCTCCATTTTGTACGATACGANAAAATTCAAATAATGTATTTAGATATAAATAAGTATCAAAATTAAGGACTTAATTATCCAATATTTTTTTATATATACTTTTTTATAATTAAATTTAATTGGGTATACCTCCTTCCAATGTTTCCAAAAAAAAAAGAGTAGGCCCATTTAGATTTTCCAGATGGGCTAGGCCCAACACATTCTCTTACATCCAACACATTGGGTTAGATAAACTATTTTGCCAGTATCACCGTCACCTCTGATATATTACTATTCTCAGTTTTAATGTAGATTTTTTTCTTTATTGTTTAGTGATGACATAGCGATTTTATAAAAGCTAATTCCTGAGCATGGAGCTGAAGGCCAGCACTTTCAATGCCTTATTGCCCTAATTCTGTTTCTTCAAGTCCAATGCGGGTTATAGGACTCTCTGATTGGTCTTTCCTATTGTTTTTATCGAGTGAAGTAACAAACCTATACTTCTACTAAGAAAAGTTTATGAACGTGAGAATGCTCTCTTAGACAACAACACAAGCTATTTATTATTAAAAGGAGAATTCTTTTTTTTTTTTTTTTGGGACATGAGAGAGAGAGATTCAAAATGAGGATGATTCTACACTAAAACATTCATCATAAATATGACCAGATATGAGGCTAAAACAGAGGAGGATTATTCCTGCAAGCTAAGGTTCGAATATGATAAGGTTCAACTCATTAAACTAACAGGAGAACATTAATCTTACAGCTCATTGTACGCCAGGAGATTAGATGCTATAAATAAAAAGAAGAATAAGAATGATTCCCTTATTGGTAGTAGTGGTCTCTCAAAAAATAAAAATAAAAAGTTAGTCAAACCAAATATTCCAAACATTTTCACTATAAATGAGAAAGATAAGAGGGTTGAGGTTAATAATTCATCTAATGGTCACCGCCTCTCTTATTTTTTTTTTTATAGCATGTAAAAGTCCGCAATGCACTAGGCCAGACTGTTCACTCGCCCAGTTGACTATCCACGATGGGTCATGGGTCGACCTGTTGTGTAGTTGACGATAAACACTTTTGGCTAGAACAACTAAGGTAAAAAAAAAAAAATTAAGATGATGTCTGACAAAATTAAAAATTAAATACTGAATACTGAATTTTAAGTATTGAATATTAAATTTTAAATTTGAAAACAGTGAAAAATTAATGTAATAACTGTTTATATCAACAACCCGCCCGACAAGCCAATGCCCATTAGCCATGGGTAGGCCTTAGAGACCCTTAAGCGGTTTTTTATCAAACACATTTATTTTTATTACTTCATATATCTACTTCTACAAAATTACAAAATAAAATAAAAATATTAGGGGTCCTAAAATTAAAATAGGGCAAAAAGAACTATAGTTACCGAGATTTCTATCAATGTGGAAGTGCACAACCATCATAATTTTGGTCAAGAATTCATATGGGTTTTTCATCTCTTCCCCTTTTTTCGTAAGAACTGTTTTTTTTTTTGTTACATGGTGTATAGTTTTACACCGATTCCTCCCTTTAACTCTTCATAAGCAAGACATCTTTAGTTGGACTTTGAATGAGAGATTTTTTTTTTTTTTTGAAAAGAGCAATGCAAAGATTAATATTACGTAAGAAAATGCTGATTACGGTCAGAAAATAAGTAAGTCTCAAGTTCGGGGGAGGCAATCCACCCAACTCAACGGAAGTGAGTTAGATATTGACATGACTGCAAACCAATGAGTTGTTCTATTAAGAACCTTTGCCAAACACAGTTGAGAGAGAGTTTGAGAGTTTTATGACCGAGAGATGATAGGCTTTTGACAAACCTAATGGATCGAAAACACATTCCATGACCTTCCTTACATGTTGGAGTGCTGGACTACTCACAGACTACCACTTGACGGGTCAATCCGCCCATTAGTTCAATGGGTTATGAGGTGGATCATCTGGTCCAAGGCATATTGCTAACCCATGGCAAAATGTGATGAGCAATGTTAGCGATAATAAATCAATAGGGATTATTAGATCGGTGGGTCTTATTAAAAAAAATTAATAAAACTCACTCATCCAATAATTTCAGTTCATTTGAGATATAATTTGGGATTCATAAAATTTTTCAAATGTGATTGTCGTGTCTGTTCGTGTTGTATTTTATCAAGTTATTGTCAAAAATCGTCCAACTTGTATGTGAGTTGTTTATTAAACATGTGAAAATTATAAAATCGAACACGATTCATTTATTAAACGGATTATACAACATAACCCTTATTAACTATTAATTTTACAACACACACAAAAAAAATTATAATTAAAAATCTTAATTTTGCAATAAATTGGGTCAGTATTAAACTAATAATAGGATAACAAACCGGCAATTAGGTGTAAATAGGTAATTGAATGATATATCAACTTATTCAGTAAGTAATCAAGTGATGAATGAATTAAAGTATTCTATCTTAGTAGGACTCGTTTATTAAGAGGATTTGATTAATTCACTTGTTAATCATTTAAAATTAAATTTAAATTTATTAATTTATTTCAAATAATCGGATTGTATTATATTCCGACACCTGAGAAGTGATGATGAACCAGAAATCAGCACATCTCAGCCAGAAAATAGAAATTTTAAGGAAACAAAAAAGACAAAGTACGGCACAAATCCAGAGAACGGAAAAGAAAAGACAAAGGCTAACCTCCATTTTGTACGATACGATTCCCAAAAGCAGGCCAAAACGTGGATGTCTCTCTCTCTCTCTCTCTCTCTCTCTCTCTCCTCACATTAAATTCACCAAATTCCCTTCAAGGTTTTATTATTATTCCCCAAGATCTGCAATATCAAGCAACAGGCTTTTATTTACTGTAACAGCTAGCAAGCCACAGAAGTGTTTGCACCTTGTGAAAACGAGAGAGAGCAGAGCAGAGCAGAGAGCATGGAGGTGGGTCAGTTGCAGGAAAGATTTGTTGACTACACAAAATCGTTGTTTTGTGAGGTAATCACAGAATATGCAAGTATGTCTCATATAAATGGGTTTGCGTTGTTGATTTTGTTGGTTTGATCTGCTGTCTTTGTTTGTGGTTTGGTGTTCTGTTTTGGGTTGGTTTCTGATTTGTTTGTGTGTGTGTTTTGATTTTAAGGGGTTCTTGGATGATCAGTTTCTTCAGCTTCAGCAACTTCAAGATGAGAGCAACCCAGATTTTGTGGTTGAAGTGGTGTCTCTGTTTTTCGAAGATTCTGAAAAGCTTCTTAATGATCTTACCAAAACTCTGTTAGGATCTCTCTCTCTCTCTCTTCCCCATGATCTTTCTCTCTCCATAATCTTTCTGCTATGTTCTTCGGTTTATTTTTTATCTTTTTGTCCAGAGATCAGCAGTTTGTAGATTATAAAAGGGTTGATGCCCAAGTTCACCAGTTGAAAGGTAGCAGTTCCAGGTATGTTCAGGGCTTTTCTGTTTTACACACACACGCCCACTGGATTGCCTCTTTGACTATATGAGTTTAATCTAATGTTTGGCATTTGTTGTCTAAATTTTAGAACAACTATATGAATCTTCAAAGTTATTGATATCCACCTGACTTCTCTCATTGTTTTATTTTTCTTTTAACTCCTATTACCACAAGAGTTTCAACCTTAAACAAAAGTTGATGTTCATATGGATGATTATTGATTAGTTCGCTGATTTCTTATATAAAAACATGAGTTCTTCTTGTGATATGACAACAGCATTGGTGCTCAAAGAGTTAAAAATGCCTGCATTGGATTTCGCAACTTCTGTGAGGAACAGAACATTGAAGGGTGAGTAGTTTTACTCTGAATTTTGAGTCAGCCATGTTGAATCAATTAGAAAATGGGAATCACAAATCCTTAAAGATCCAAACAATTAAGTAGCTTTGCATTCTGATAAAGAAAGTTTTGGGTACTTGTAGGTGTTTGAGATGTCTGCACCAAGTAAAACAAGAGTACTCCCTTGTCAAGAACAAGCTTCAAACTTTATTCAGGGTGAGAACAGTAAGCATTTGTAATTTTTTTTTAACAGAGCTGGGGTTAATTAAACTATGTTCCTCCTTTCAGTTTATACTCTCAATTATTGGTTTAAACACATTGCATTTTCAACTATAAACATTCATTAAAGGTCCCATCCTTCAATATCATGATTGGGTCGACCAGGCCAGATCATGAGTGAAATATCATGATCAGGAAGGCTCAGTTCCACACTCTGACTTCAATGATAGGAATGTTGGATTGACGACCTGTGTATAAAGTAAGAAAAAAATTTTAGATTTGAAAAAAAGTTCGCATTGTCCAAAAATTAACAATTTTGTGCAAAGTATAAAGAATGTGAATAGTCAAACATACAAGGTATATAAATCTACAAGTCATCACCCGTGCCTAAAGGCACGATAAAATATAAAATTAAATATATAATAGAAATGAATGGTGTGATATTTTTAGGGAGGAAATATATAAACGATTATATATGTATTAGAAATAAGTGATGTGATTTGACGTTTGAATCTGACAAAGGGATGATGGGTGAGATAAGTGATTGATGATGATTTTGAAGGAAAAAATATGACTGAGATAAAATTCAAACACACTCCTGTTTTATTATATAGATTGTTGAAGAAAAAAAGTGTAATCAAGCCTCTAGTTTAAGGGAAAGTATGAAAAATGTGAATAGATGAAGAGGCAATGTGTCAAGAATGAGAATAGTTGAAGATACCATGTTTTAAAATCTGTTGTTGGAGGCAAAGTGTAATCAAACCTCTAGTTTAAGGGAACAAAGTGCAATTATCCCTTCTTACTATATGTCATCCTATGCCAACTCCTATTTTTCTTTTGGTTGCCTGCTGCAGTTGGAGCAACAGATTGTGGCCGCTGGTGGAGCAATTCCTATGGTGGAATGAGTGGTCCTAAGGTAACCCTAAAGCAAGCAAAACAAGTATGTTTGGGAGCTGTTGTGAAGTTTTTTTTTTTTTGTGAACTATTGTTCTTCACCTATGTAGCTGCTGAACTTGCACCTATAAAAATAATAGTGAAAGTGAGAGCAAACATGCCCTTGTATTTAGTCCTCCTCCTGATGGAGCATGTCGAACTTATAAATGAATTTTGGTTTTTTCACCTTCCTCAGTTTTAACCATTCCTCAAGTTTTTTTTGATCACATGAGAAATGTTTTGAGGCCATTGCTTGGTGAATGGCAAGTAATTTGCCCGGGAACTAACATGACAGTGTGTACAATTTTTTGAGCAATTTGTGTGGAAAGGTATGGTCTATATCCGACCAATCCTCCCTGCGTGATGCATAAGTTGGACTAGCACCAAGTAATGGCCCTTTCTTGTTTATGAATCCTTATATTTGATTCCAAGAAGATCCCACTATTGGGATTTGTGCTTGCTTTAAGTTTTGGATCAACAGCTTGGTGGTTTCTGTGGGTTTTGTTCATCACATTAGCAATAGGCCTAGAGAAACCATCAAAAATGAAAAAATTGAAATACCGCTAGCAGATATACACGGATATGTATTGATGTAGACTTACGAATTCCCTCATACAACTCTAACCACTTTTGCCCATTAGTTATACAATGAATTTGAGGGGGATAAGGATGAAAAAGGGGGGCTCAGAGGGTGCAGCTGTGAAAGAAGATAATCCTATTTACAAAATTGCAAACAAGGGGGCAATTTCCTTTTACAATGAAAGGAACAATTTCACATTTATAGATCAAATCCTTCTGTCTTAAATTTTCTTTGTTTTGTCTCCTTTGAGCTAAATACATACAGTTTTTGGTGGCTTCTATAAGTGTGTGTAAGTAGCAATATGTATGTGAAGAACAACAGAAATACAGATGACACATGCTGTATGTCAACAAAAGGAAGGAGTGGTTAACAGTTGGTTTAATGGCCACCAACCCCGCTATTGGACATCAAGGTCGCAGGTTTGAACTTTGTCGTCCACTTCCCTTAATAGCGCCCAACAAAAGGAAGGAAAAAAACAGAATTCTACCCCCATCTTTGATGAAATGTCAAGCCTGGTCTTTCTTATATGTTATTTGGTGTACTCCAAATTCTTCTTTGCTCATCAAAGCTTCCAACTACAGCTGACTGCTGTTTATCACCAAGTTGATTTGCAAACAGATCATAGTATGCCATAGGGTCAATATGTTGCAAAATTTTTACTGGTTTTCCACGAATGTTGTCGATAATCACTTGTCCATCTTCGGATTCATCACCTGTGGAAGAGACTTTAATGTGTTTGATTTCAAATGTCGATTTCAGATCATCAGCCAAGATTACTGCACCAAGAATTTCCCCAACAAATGTATCCTGCAGCAGATAGTAAGTCATTACGACTATGAATAGCAACTTGTTATAAAAAACCAAAGTTCGCATTTCAGCCGTTGCAGGCTGAAATTTATTTCTTTCAAAATGAAATTTTGATCCTTGGATCAGGACATTCCATGATACTCAAGGAGCATGGTGTCGTATCCAAGGGGTTCCACTAATACATCATAAAGTGGGTCCAGGTTTTAGCAATGCACTCTTTAATATTCAAATCTTTTAGTGATGTTTGCCAATTCTAATCCCGGGAATAAGGAGAGTACTTAGATCGTTCTAAAGTAATGATTGACCAATTTCAAAAAAATTATCATTGCCATACCATATGTTTATATCTGTAATGTGTTCGTTGTAAACGCTGCATTGTTCGCAACAAACGCGTAGCAAACAGAGCTTCAGGTGTCCTCCTCTTCTGAAATAATCTAGCTAGAATCGTAGGAGTATCGCAGACTTTACGTTGGATTCCCAGTGGAATAAGTGTAACTTTGAGTTCTGATTCCAATACTGTCTTTGCAGCCAACGGATCAAGAAACATGTTGAGCTCTGCATACTCATTTGAAGGAACATTGAGGACATTTCCTTTTTCTTTATTATTGTAGTTGATGTGTCCTCCAACTATAACTACCTCCTGCATCAGATTTCAAACAAATGTAATCCGTTCATGAGTCGTGTGACTGTGTTACAATGTTTTTGAAACTTGCGGGTTTTAGTTTTTGAAAATGGTTTTTGAAATATGTCATTGCATGGAGGCTTTCTATGTACACCTTTTGGTACTTAGAAAGTTATTTTAGAGTTTTGGTTTTTCAAGTAAACCTGTGAATATCGAGCGCCCTCTTGGGACTTAGGAAATTGCATGAACTATCATAATCTTCAAAACCATTTACTCCAATGATTCTATATTCACAAGATTGCCAGAGTACACAAAGCCACTGACCTGAATAACACAGCTTATGTTTTTGCGTGAAAGAATTATCTTTGCTAAGGTGGTCAAGGGTCCATTTGTCAGTATTGTAATCTTAGATCCTGGATCGAGTGATTTTATTAGAGGGTCCCAGATTTCAAGTGCTAGTGGTTGTCTAAGTTCAGGGTGATCTGTATCCCGGGGAGCTCCAAACTTTGCAGAATTCTCTGCTGTGTACCTGGAACAAAACTCAGACATCAGTCCAAGATGTTTCGAGGTGATTGAACATCGAAATTTCATAGAATTCAAAACGAATCACTGATTAAACATCAAAATCCATAAATTTAGCAGATTGAAATACTAGCATCTTGCGTTTGGAGAAATAATCGTAATGGTGATGGTGGGTACCTCCGAGGGCTTCGTGGCAAATCACGAGCTAGCCCGTAAAGAGTATCAGAGTCCAAAAGTCCACCACCTCCATGGGGGATAGCCTTGCTATACTTGCAGTCTCCAACACCAACTAAAAGCGGATCAGTCTGGTTCATTGCAAATACATCCCCTAGGCCAACAGGAATATCATCGCGCCCCATCATGTGCAGTAAGTCATAGATGACATCAATAGTTGCTGCATTTGCCCAGCCAGTTGGACTTACTAGAATTGCCTGTATGAACAATGCACATTACAATTGCAGTTTGCTCAGAAGAATTGCCTGAAACTAGTTTTTACTTTCAATCAGACATAATTTCCGGGCTTTTTCCCAGTATGACTATCAGGCTACATGTTTGCTGAACTTTAAGTATCAGTGCATTCAAAGCCAAGTAATCAAAGATATCCTCTGGAGCTAGTTTTTCATTTGAGCTGAAGCTACTCCTCAGGATAGATCGAAGCAGACAGTGTCATGAAGGGTGAAACTGGCAAAAGGGAAGACTAATTTACCTTGAGATTGGCCACTTCCACAGGTAATTTGAGAAGGTAGAAAAGAGCTAGAAAATCTCCCGCGCTCATATCCATGTCAAACACAACATTTTTCCCAAGATTCTTCCCTCCAAAATCTTGTTTGTAGAAAACTTGTTTGTAATAAGGGAATTGTGTCGTAAAATTGAACCTTCCACTATGTTGAGGGCGGTTTAGGACCTGTATTCGATAATGGATATAGAATTATGATCTACCAGAAAATGTATCTTGATAAAAATGTAATGCACCAACAGCACACTAGCTTAATAATATTCCAGGAACTATTTCATTTGTCCAATCAAAATAAATTGCAAAGACATGAACAAACCTTATCCTTTGCATACATAATCCGTAAACATAGTACAAATAGAATTCATATACGATGAAGAAATGAACTGTTGTTTCTGGAAGGTAAAGAAAAAGACTTACATCCAAGAAGCTTTTGAAAAATGCTCTGCTTAGTGAGCTTCTATTGTCCTGACTAGGTTTTGCTCTTGTAGCAACAAGCACCCTCACTGCTTCTGGACCAGTAACTTCCATCGTATAACCATCCTGGTTAGCATGCATTCAGTAGAAAATGAAGTAAGAAACAAAAAATTAACCTCTTAATGTACTTTATTAGATTATTTAGAAAAGCCCATATAGATTCAAAAAATAGATATAAACTCTTTAATAGTCGGTCATTACCTTACATTTCCCTTTTCCATTCTTGACAATGCAAAATGGATCTTGAAGTCCAGTCTGAACATGACCACTATGTACTCCATCTTTTTTCAATTTGAACTTGGGCGTTTTGAGGCCATTGAATAATGGATTTGAGCCATCGAATATCCCATAAGGTTCGTTTGAAGTAACTACAGTTATATTCATGTACTCCATTTCAGCAAATTCATTTTCCCCAGCATGGTTGTGTGGCTTCCTCATGATTGAAGCAGCTACACCTGCTGTGAATGAGTCCCACATAAAATAACTCTGCATTAAATGAGATTACAAATCATTACTAGAGTTGAGCAAAAATGTTCATGTAGTTGAATTTAAGAATGTAAGGATAATCAAACTTAATGCCCATCTGATAGATTACCGTATAGAACTGATCATCAAACCAAGTATCACGAGCCATTTTCAAAGACTTGAAACAATATTGAGCTTCGTAAGTATGCTGATTCTGTTCAAGTACCTCGAAAAAGTTTTGAGAAATGGGGATGGTGTTTGTTGCATCCAAGGGAACAAGGGTAACTGGAATCCCAGAATGGATAACCTACAATCATTAGTCAACATTAGGTATGGTTCGAAACAATCATTACTCATATACAAAAACAAGCATAGTACCTGGTATGCAGCAAAAGGATCTCCAAAGATATTGAACTCTGCATAAGGATTACTAGTGTAGTCTGTGAACAAATTACCACGATCGCCACACTGTCGTGGCTGGCAAGATGAGGTGGTGGCATTTTTCGGGCAGCAACCAGTTGGGTTCTTTGACCTCACACCACCACCCATGATGTAAATATGCTTAACGTTCTTTTTCAACCGTGGATTATTTAGAAGAAATATGGCAAAATTTGTATGAGCTCCAATGAGAATTAAAGTTATGGGACCAGCAGATATTTTGTCGATCATTACTTGCTGAGCAGTGGGCTGTCGAAAAGGAGAATATCTCCTATTTCCCTGATTTCATGAAGAAGAGATTGAAATAAGAAGGTATTACCAAGAAGGAGAATGTGAATCAATGCTGAACATGAAGATGTCAAGTGTCCTTGAGTTTCAGACACAAAGAAAACAGGACTAATCCAGTCTCATACAAAACACCACTCCAAATTGTGAAGCAGAAAAAATCAAACTTACATTGATGACAAAATATAATCTATAGCTTCTACATTGCGTTTGCGTTTTTATGTAATACTAACTAATGCTCATAAGCATATGTTTTGCATAGGGTGAAAAATAAACAAAAACTCTAGCAACAAAGGACGAATTCCACGAGTTCTAAAGAAAAAAAAACGATTTGTGCACTTGAACAAATAGAGAACATCTTAGAAGGTTGTTGTATTATGTTAGAAGAAATAGCACATTGGGTTTCACTGCAGTTTAGATTATTATTATATATGCATTTCTCTTCACTATGTACACGTAGAACAAATTTCAATGTTCTTTTCAAAAAGAAAATCCCCTGTTTTGTGGTAAAATGATTCGTCAAAACAATGCATCAAGGAATACAACATACAACACAAAACAGCAAAAGAGAGACACTGGACTTTATCATTAGCAGGATCCACACCTCCATAAAGCTTATTATTATGAAGAGAAAACAACCAAAACAAACAAGCCTTCCTGCTATGCCTAATTACATTTAAATCCACAATTTGTACCCTATATCACTGTCAAAATGTAGATTCTTACCTGTGGGAGGAAGCTTTTTCGGAAGCCAAAGTTCGTGTCGATATCTAATCGTCCCCCAAGACCTACCGGAATAGCTTGCCTATATCTACAATAGCCAGCTGTACCAATCCCCTGATGAAAATATAACTAAAATGTAAGAAGTGTATGTATAATTGGGACTTAAGAAAACAAAGTAAGTTTCCTTCAACTAATTCAAGTGATTCAATCGATAGGAAAGTTGTCTTATTGAACATTTGATTATATACAACCTCGTGAACATTACAACCAATCAATCGAGAGTTTTCTATACATTTGCATTTCAAGTTTCTATCTATCCCCAAATGCACAAGAAAAGGTAGAAGTCCTCTGCACCTGTTCAATTATTGGGAGATATCCACCAACATTTGGCAGTATGGTACCATCTTCAAGTATTCCACCCTCACCTCCCACCCCAACAGCAATGCCATCACGACCCATCATGTAAAGAATGTCATATATTTGATTCACAGCATGCCCCGCGTTGGTCCATGCATTTGTGTTGATAGTCACTGCCTGCAGCAAGGCAATATCAAAAGAAAACAAAAAAGTGTATCCAGTGTCTTCACAGGATCTGGATACGAATTGGTGGATACAAGCAAGAGTGAATCCCTCCATTATACTATTCTCCAAAACACACACACACACACACATATATATAGTGAAGTAAAATTATATAAAAAGTCAAAATGAATAAGTAATTCAAAATTCACAAGGAATGAGGGATGGCCATACTTGCAAATTTCTCAAGTACTAAAGACTAGCAGTTTAACAATTTTTTAATAAGGCTTTGAAAACGTTATCAACTGAATTAAGAAAAAGAAATATTATGAGTCAACTCAATGATTAGTCACATCTTTTTTTTTTTTTAATTAAAGGCTTGGTTGACAAGGACTAGAAGGAATCTTACCAAAGCTTTCTCACTAAACCACACAAAAACTAATAAGATTTCCCAGATCTTGACCACTCAAATACAAAGTTGGACCAATAAAAAATTCTCACTACCATCCGAACTCATTCAATAAAAGCAAATCATAGCAATAAATGTCTGAAAAATCATAGCATAAGATGATGATAGACAAGTTCTAGATAGGATACATGCACCAACATCAACCTTTAGTAAGAGAGACAAGTCGATTGAATACATACATATACACACAGAGAGGATAGTTTACAGTATCGAAATAAAAATTTCAGTATCATACTAAAAATTACTACTTTAATGGTCAAGTTATACTTTACACCTGATTGAATCATTCATAAAACATCGTGACTATTAACTCTAATCTAATCGAGCGGTAAATATACATGTCTTGAATTCAATTTTTGACGATCCCTTGCAGCCTAGAGAGAAAATTATTATTTCTTATGAATATGTTCTAACATAGATGGTATGCACCTTTAACTAGACTGGGAGAAAATTAGTCAACATTTGCATAAACTGACCTGATACCTGTAATCGTTGAATAGAAAAAAAAAAAGGATAACTTAGACTATTAAAAGTAATAGGTTGATTTTTAAAAATTGTAACTTCATTGATTGATGATACCCTTTATAGTTATAATTAAACCACAAAAAGTTATAATTTTCAATATGATAGGAGCCTTCCAGAGAGAGAGAGGGGGGACAGGGGAGGGGAAGATTATATACATAATATATATATATATATATAGAGAGAGAGAGAGAGAGGGAGAGAACAAGCAGTTGAGAAAATAACCTGCAAATCGAATTCTGATCTGTTAAGCTTCAAGAGGTACAAGAGAGCGAAGAAGTCATCAGTATCAACATCTGTATCCAAAAGAATCCGATGGGGGTGAGCTTCAACCTCCCCAGAGGAGGGGTTAGATTGCCGTATTCCAACTATAACTATAACTATAGCTACAAATATCCATCTCCAGGACAACATTTTTCACCCGTCTTCGATCGAAAAACCACCAATCTTTTTTGCTTCAAAGCCCAGCAAGAACTTGAAAGCAATGGCTTTTTTTAGATCAACTCTAAACTGTTACATCAATCCTGAAAAAGTAATGGTCATTGATCAACAACAGAAAATTCGTAAAAAACTAACCATAATATATGTATATCAGTACGTACAGTATAATGGAAATGTGACTGAGATAGTTTCAGACAGAGTTTGAAGAAAGGATGAGAGAACAGAGAGGACAAAAGCTTTTGTGTGTGTGTGGGAAAAAGAGAGGGAGAGAGAGAGAGAGTACGTATGACTCGGTGAGAACTTGACGGAGCCGTGAGGATCACCGGGCCGGCGGTAATGGAGTCAGAGAGCGCAAAAGCAAGATGCAAAGCAATCGCGTCTTCAATGGTAGACTGAGAGACTACGAAAATAGATAAGAGAGCGAGAGAGAGACAGAGAGAGAGGTGTCTGCTAGACAGAGAGCTAGAAAGAGAGGTTAAAAGTGGTCAATATGCAATAATGGGATTTATAATTAATGCTGTAAGAAGGAAAAATCATAAGAGTAATACTACGGTGATTTAAAGACTAAACTTATAAATTATGCTCGATAATCATAATTATTAAATAAATAATAAATTTTAATAAATACTGAGATTTTCATTGAAATCAGTAGTTGTAATTATTAAGTCTATTTTTTAAATCTATTTAACATTACTCAATCATAAATAGAGATGATTTTTTTTTTTCGTTCAACTCTCGAGGTATCCAAGTCCACTTATCTTATGCTACAACTAATCTCTTCCCTTATCTGATTAAAAAAAAGTCATTGACACTGAGATTAACATATTTATGAAAAATAAATTATTTATGATTTGACGTTAAATGGTTGTCAAATTTGATCTTTGGACGTCTGAGTTTTTATTTATTTATTTATTTTTTGTTACAAGATTTATGTCGACTACCCCATTAAACTCAACGGTTAGTCATCATAATTTGAGGTGAATTTAGAGTTCTCCATTCTTATCTTTTGAGATATCTTTAGAATTATTGTTTATTTATTCAACTGGCATGGAACTATGGAAGGATGACATTTATAAAGGGGTATACAATAATAAATAAAACTTATAATTAATGCAGCTAGAAGAAAAAAATCATAGAGAGAGGGAGGGGGTTGGTTTTTTTATTTTACTATTGGGAACCACACTTTTACTTTATTTAGGTAAACTATGGATAAAATTGAAGGGCTCATATATTATGGCTATGGCATAGAAATTGAAAATGAATTTGTCCGACACAATAAAAGTGTTATTTGTCTATTTTCGAGACTCAAATTTAGGTTAATTATAAAATCGAGTATTTGGATGTGTTTGTGTAGGCATATAACTTAATTATAGATCAAAAATGATGGATCCAAGAAGAGTTAAGTTTTCTGCTCAAAAAAAAGAAAAGAAAAGAAGAGTTAAGTTTGAATGACAAGGTGTGAAAGATTTTCAAACCTTTGAATGACAATCTATGCTCTCCATCTTTAAATACATCATTATAGATCTAATTCCTAACCATGAAAGAAACACCTAGAGCATTTAACATCATTATATATGTTGAAGATACACTTCAATTATTTATTGATGATACAAACTAATCACCACCAACCTCTTAATTATTATTTTTTATTTGTGCTCAAATTTTTTAGTAAATGAGTAGGCTCGACTCGACACGATACGATTAATATATAAGTCGGGTATAGATGAAATCAGTCAAAAGAAATATACAAGACAAATACGATATGACACGACTTGTTAGACACAAATTAATAAACGAATCGAGTATGAGTAAAATATTTTTTTACACAAACTCATTAAAATTTGTTTCATCCGAAACGATTGAGAAAATAATATATTAGACTTTAGATGGTCATAGCAAAGACTTCCGATGAGAAGTTCAACTAAATGTACCCCCAATTTTAAGCATTAAATCAATCAACAAGGAAAATTTATAAAACAAAAAATCCACTCAAATTAATTAGATTTTAAGAAATCTATGGTGGGTGTTTGACTTNGAGAGAGAGAGAGTACGTATGACTCGGTGAGAACTTGACGGAGCCGTGAGGATCACCGGGCCGGCGGTAATGGAGTCAGAGAGCGCAAAAGCAAGATGCAAAGCAATCGCGTCTTCAATGGTAGACTGAGAGACTACGAAAATAGATAAGAGAGCGAGAGAGAGACAGAGAGAGAGGTGTCTGCTAGACAGAGAGCTAGAAAGAGAGGTTAAAAGTGGTCAATATGCAATAATGGGATTTATAATTAATGCTGTAAGAAGGAAAAATCATAAGAGTAATACTACGGTGATTTAAAGACTAAACTTATAAATTATGCTCGATAATCATAATTATTAAATAAATAATAAATTTTAATAAATACTGAGATTTTCATTGAAATCAGTAGTTGTAATTATTAAGTCTATTTTTTAAATCTATTTAACATTACTCAATCATAAATAGAGATGATTTTTTTTTTTCGTTCAACTCTCGAGGTATCCAAGTCCACTTATCTTATGCTACAACTAATCTCTTCCCTTATCTGATTAAAAAAAAGTCATTGACACTGAGATTAACATATTTATGAAAAATAAATTATTTATGATTTGACGTTAAATGGTTGTCAAATTTGATCTTTGGACGTCTGAGTTTTTATTTATTTATTTATTTTTTGTTACAAGATTTATGTCGACTACCCCATTAAACTCAACGGTTAGTCATCATAATTTGAGGTGAATTTAGAGTTCTCCATTCTTATCTTTTGAGATATCTTTAGAATTATTGTTTATTTATTCAACTGGCATGGAACTATGGAAGGATGACATTTATAAAGGGGTATACAATAATAAATAAAACTTATAATTAATGCAGCTAGAAGAAAAAAATCATAGAGAGAGGGAGGGGGTTGGTTTTTTTATTTTACTATTGGGAACCACACTTTTACTTTATTTAGGTAAACTATGGATAAAATTGAAGGGCTCATATATTATGGCTATGGCATAGAAATTGAAAATGAATTTGTCCGACACAATAAAAGTGTTATTTGTCTATTTTCGAGACTCAAATTTAGGTTAATTATAAAATCGAGTATTTGGATGTGTTTGTGTAGGCATATAACTTAATTATAGATCAAAAATGATGGATCCAAGAAGAGTTAAGTTTTCTGCTCAAAAAAAAGAAAAGAAAAGAAGAGTTAAGTTTGAATGACAAGGTGTGAAAGATTTTCAAACCTTTGAATGACAATCTATGCTCTCCATCTTTAAATACATCATTATAGATCTAATTCCTAACCATGAAAGAAACACCTAGAGCATTTAACATCATTATTTATGTTGAAGATACACTTCAATTATTTATTGATGATACAAACTAATCACCACCAACCTCTTAATTATTATTTTTTATTTGTGCTCAAATTTTTTAGTAAATGAGTAGGCTCGACTCGACACGATACGATTAATATATAAGTCGGGTATAGATGAAATCAGTCAAAAGAAATATACAAGACAAATACGATATGACACTACTTGTTAGACACAAATTAATAAACGAATTGAGTATGAGTAAAATATTTTTTTACACAAAGTCATTAAAATTTGTTTCATCCGAAACGATTGAGAAAATAATATATTAGACTTTAGATGGTCATAGCAAAGACTTCCGATGAGAAGTTCAACTAAATGTACCCCCAATTTCAAGCATTAAATCAATCAACAAGGAAAATTTATAAAACAAAAAATCCACTCAAATTAATTAGATTTTAAGAAATCTATGGTGGGTGTTTGACTTCCATTTATTATTTTTTTGCATTATAAAAACAAACATTTCCAAAGTACAAGTGCCACAATAGGACCCACTAGAAGATCTCTTTGACCCAAAAATCTCAGACCACCAAACTGCACAAAATCATAAAGTAATATTTGCTCCTTGTTTGGATGAACAGGGTAAGAAAAAAACAACCATTTATTTGCGTGATTTAGAATTTTAGAGTGTCAATTTGTAATCCAATGATTGAACGTCCCTTAGATTTTTGTCCTCAAAAAATACTACCATAGTTGAAGCTTTCTACTTTCTGACAAGGATTACCAATGTGTCTCTCTGAACCTATCAACATAGAAAGATACCGTCAATATCCTTTGTATGGCCTTTGTCTGTGCTGTGATTCTTTTTGACCAGAGTTTTTTGTATTGATTTGAGGCTATTTCAGAGCAATAATTGATGGCTTAAAATAAAAGTACCAGAGTTAAAAGGTGGTAAAGGGATCTGACGACGTTCGAGGGAATGTGTTTGTGTGAGAGTTGTTAATTCTGGGTATGGAGCTGGACAGCTCTTTGATGTTGCGGGGAAATGATTAACTTAAAAAGAAAATGAAATAACACTAATAATTCAGTGGTTCGTCAAGTTGAAAGGCTTGACTGGTCCATTTTAATAAAGGCTTTTACTCTCTAATTTCTATTGCTTGGATGACGCCGAGCTTCAATCACACCAGTAAAGGAAGCTAGGTTGCTTCATTGGTTGTTTCGGTTTTGGGTTTTGAGGCCACGCTATTCGAGGTCGAGCTGCAATCAATAGATAATGATCCGCTGATTTTGGTATCACCAGTGTTCACCTGAATAATTTTTTTAATCGAATGAAACAATTTACGGTCTATTCAGACTCGACCCGTTCCAACATGTTTGTGTTAAAAAATTGATCGACAACAACATATTTTTCGGGACTTGTTATATTATCATTGATGAAAATTAAGAATCTGTACCCACACAGAGATGGATTCATAGCTGTGAATGCCTTGCCAAGTGAAGAGGACTATAAGAGTGTGAACATAATGTGGTATATTGATATTTCCTGACTGAATTTGAATGCTCAAAATGCCATATTTTTCTAAGATAGACCTCTGACACACAAAGGCTATGACAGTGAAATAGTTAGGTAGAAAAAATCCCAGTGAAAAGTCTCCTAAGGGAGAAAGGTCTTCTTGTATGAATCTAGACATTGTTCTGAGCAATGCATTCACAAAGCAGTTGATAATGTTGCAGCAGAGCAAGTCCATCTCCATGGCACTTAACTGGTCAAGTATAGAGTTGGTGCTTCTGTTTAAGTAGATCTCTTTTATTTACAAAAAGTTGGACATGAAGCAATAACATATGTTTATCTGTCTAAGCAATACATTCTTGATTCTAGTCTGAAAATCTTTCTTACTTTAATTGGAATAAGACTGTCTACGTTTTTATTTCTCCAAATCTAATTACAAATGAAAGACTTGCACATTGATAACAACAATAATTATATATGAACCACTTTTATGCACCACCTTGTCTACACCACTCGATGTGGCACGATCTTAACCTTTAAATATTCAATGAATTCAATAATACTCACTAAGAATCTGTACCCACACAGAGATGGATTCATAGCTGTGAATGCCTTGCCAAGTG